AATATATTATTAGTTTAAGCTAATAATATATTATTAAACTAATAATATATAGTTTATATATTATTAGTTTAAACTAATTATATATTATTAGTTTGAAAGTAATTTTTTTTTTCAGGATTTCAGTTTATCTTAGCGTTAAATGCCAGCAACGTTGTTATGATGGGAAAAAGTTTCATGGTGCTGTGCACAATGCTGACGCAATTGACGGTGTACAGCTTTGTCGGTGATCACTTGAAATCTCAGATGGAAGAGATCGGGCCGTTTGTCTACCAAAGCGTTTGGTACGATCTTCCCGCGAAACTAACGAGAAACTTACCGTTCATCATTATGCGAACACAATCACCCGTCAAGTTGCAAGCTGGAAATTTTATCGTGGTAAATCTGGCCACTTACATGAGCATCCTGAAAACATCTATCTCGTATCTGTCTGTGTTGCGCGTAATGGTAGAAACGTAAGAAACGTAAGAAACGTAAGAAACGTCACATTATATATACTCGGTTTTAGATTTCTCCAAATCTATTATATAGAAACGATATATACAGATTTTATTCTAATGTTATTTTAATAAAAATCACTGAGTACGTTTCTCACATGTGTGTTTGTTTGTGCCAAATCAAAGTAGTAGTGTTTGTTAAACACGCAATAGTAAAACATTATGTGTAATATGTACATTATATATATATATGTATAAACAGAGCGTAACGTCTTAAACTAATTAAAAATCAAAATCTTCAAACTTTTCTCACCTTTACTTAAAAACACAATCGATCATCGCTTAACGTTGTTGCTATTTGACACTTGAAATCACACATCGGTTTCTCTCGAACAAAATTGCGCAAATAATAATTGCACTTCTGCGTAAGGATTTGCGCTGTAATTACGACGGACTATGTTCGGATTTTACGCCCGCATCGTATTTTTATTGTCGCAACAAATTACACGCTCTTCGTCACACTCCGCTCTAAGCTTCTTTTCTATCGCTCCGCTCTGATGATATTCGCGACGAGATGAAAGGTATAACAAGTGTCTCTTTTTTTTTTTACGTAGGGAAGAAAAAGTTTCGGACAGCGAAGAAAGAACTTGCTCTGGACCTAATGAATTTTTTGTTACATCAAAACGTTTTGTTGGTTGAACTAAAAAATTCAGTAAGCTCCCATCGAGTTCCCTCCTCCGCTGTTCCCTCAACGTTAGTAAATAATCTTCTTTTTGCTATTCCACTTCTTTTCCCGTGCGTTTATCTTACCGCCGTGCGGCGAGCCTACGCGTATCAGCCTAATAAAATATGACTGCTCTATTTGGGGACGTGTCGTCGCGGTTGATAGCTCGCAATAACGTCTCGTAATTCACAATTCCTTGAAATTGACGTCGAATTTGCGAAATTGAACGCGCCCAAACAACTCTTGAACAGAGCAATTTCGATTTATTCGGTTCACTCGTGCGTGCGGTTTGCGCGCACAGTTCTGCTATAATGTCACACGATCTTTGGAACGATGACATCGCGTCTGTATTTTTTATCCAGAAAACGTGCATGCAAATTCTCGGTGTGTGGCCGCTCGGTAAGATGACGATAATCGCGATGATGCACTTTGGCTTAACATTGACGCTACAGGTACGTTAACAGCCGGGAAAAGGAAAGTTGTGTGTGCAAGTATGTGTCAAATCAGAGAACATGTAAGTACGCGCGTGTAAGCGACGCGCGAGAAATTTACAAGTACTACGAACTATAACTAATAGCGCAAAGAAAAGTGTCCAAAGAAAACAAAAATGGAGTTGCTTCAATTAAAGTTGACGTCACGGCCCGAGTCGAAATTTAGCGTCTACATTGAACCTGAAATTTTTGAAAAAAGAAAATTTCGGACATATAGCAGCGTCAAAGTAGCATCTACTTTCTCTCTTACTTCTGCATAAAAAAAGAGGAATTGAGGTTCAATGTAGATGTTAAATTTCGACTCGGGGGGCTGCCACAAAAATAAATAGTTTGTTCAATTGCTTATGCGATTAATTTAATGTCTAGATTCTTAAATCAACTATCTGCTGTGTATAGTGCAATAATATTGATGTTTGCATCAGCAGAATATATTTCAATTAATCTGATACCGTTGATTCAACATTATTTTTTTTTCCGTGTATTTCAAGTCTTTTCTTTTCGTATCATTAAAATATTCAGATATTAAGAACTTTGTTACATATATATATATAACAAAGTTCTTAATATTATATAT